AATGGACCTGCATTTAGAGGAAGGAGAAAGTTATCCTTGAAACATATCCACAGCTAACCAGGTACAAATGCAGCAATAACTCAACATCAAGAATAAAAAAGGTATATTCAACAAAACAATATATGAAAAAAAGGTGTGACGAAGGGTTGATGACGTCATTAACACCCACTAAGTCGAATAAACAGATACCGCGTCGCAAAAACATTGAGATAGTGTATGACTTTCAGTGCACACTCGTGATGGTTATGTGGTTGTTTATGAGCAATCATTATGTACCTGGTGCTAATGACACTCACAGTTTAATTTCTACTTTTTATATTTCTTTTTACGATGCAGAAAGATACAAACTGCAAAAACATCACCGAGACTAACATTTTGTCCCTGAAATCCTGAAAATGACTTGTGGATAAGATTAAATATAAATATTTCTAAATAGGATCCCACGGGTATAAGAAACCCTCAACTCTCGTTATTTCTATAGTTGAAAATGAATAAGAATGGAAGGGTGTGTGTGTGGAGGGGAGGGGGGGAGGGGGGGGTATTTTATTACATAAAAATATATTCTCTGGGGCATGTAATACAGACCAACCATGCGCCCGCCCAGGTATGGTGAGTGAGTAAGGTTTTACGCCGCTGTTAGCAATATTCCAGCAATATCACGGCGGGGGACACCAGAAAATGGGCTTCACATATTGTATCAATGTCGGGAATCGAACCCGGGTCTTTAGCGTGACGAGCGAACGTTTAAACCACTCGGCTACCCAACAGCCCCCGGCCCACGTATGACTCGGTGAGCATAGACATGGGTATCCGTTTAAGATGTTTTATGTAATCATTAGCCCTAACTGTCGGTCTTTGCTAAAATTACGCAAGTATTTTAAGTTAGTCATTTTGTTAGTCATTTTGTCAATAAATTAACATATTTTTATGTCAAATATAAAACATTAACAGACTTACAATAATAACCATATGATCGGAATATTTACTTTAACAAGCAGCATAGCGTTTGAGAGACGTGTCACTTTTGACATGAATAGTCGGTATTTGTTTCACAAGATTTTTTCTCGCGTTTTTAATGCAGTGTTTTGTCAGTCGTTTGATGGCACGCATTTCCAGGGATCGTATTCGGGCAGCCCGGGGCGACACGAGACTTAGGTAGCAGGAAACAAGACCACATTACTACTTTTCCTTGATTACCTACCCTATCTATCGACTTTTGCGAAAATGACGTGACTACAAACGTTTCAATACCCACATTGAATGTACCCACAGAGAATCAAGAATATGTGGTCCACCAAATATCAATATCAGTCATATCGGAGTTTCCATATTTTATCAGTTCTTGTGATATGAGACATACGACAATATCGAGAACTTGCAATCGCTAAGAAACTATAAAACATATAAAGTTATCATATTTCATCCTTTGCATCTTCACTTTGAGGGGAACCCAAAGAACAACAAGTCAATGTGGTGTGGCCTTGGGGCAATGTTAATGGGTTGATCTAGTTGGCCTCATCACTGGGTCCTCTGCTGTGGAGTTCAAATGGCCTGTAAATAGTCGAGTCGGAGTCAGAAAATCCAGGGATTGATATTATGAGCAACGATTTATGCGGTCGGGGCACGATGACATGCCATCACCGTCCACGTATCACCGAGCTTGACTACAAATACATTTGATTGCGTCATACGACCAGTATAGGTTGCTGGGGATCACGTCTATGTCTATCTAAGAATTCCACAGGGCAGACTGTGGGTAATATATATGTGTTGCTTTCTTTGCAGTTAAGAATAGTAAGTTAGCTAAGCGCGAAATGTTACAAAAACAAAAGATATATTTGTCATTTGTATATATTCCGACCGTAATGACTTATACACTGTCTTGGAAGAATGTATTTAAGAGAATACGTGTAGAGTTTCAGCAGTTACCATCATATTTAGCTTGGCTCACCAGTCAATGTGGTGTGGCCTTGGGGCAATGTTAATGGGTTGATCTAGTTGGCCTCATCACTGGGTCCTCTGCTGTGGAGTTCAAATGGCCTGTAAATAGTCGAGTCGGAGTCAGAAAATCCAGGGATTGATATTATGAGCAACGATTTATGCGGTCGGGGCACGATGACATGCCATCACCGTCCACGTATCACCGAGCTTGACTACAAATACATTTGATTGCGTCATACGACCAGTATAGGTTGCTGGGGATCACGTCTATGTCTATCTAAGAATTCCACAGGGCAGACTGTGGGTAATATATATGTGTTGCTTTCTTTGCAGTTAAGAATAGTAAGTTAGCTAAGCGCGAAATGTTACAAAAACAAAAGATATATTTGTCATTTGTATATATTCCGACCGTAATGACTTATACACTGTCTTGGAAGAATGTATTTAAGAGAATACGTGTAGAGTTTCAGCAGTTACCATCATATTTAGCTTGGCTCACCAGTCGAAATAAACCTGAGCTTTCCAATCTCATGTATTTATGTCGAGTTCGGTCTAACATGTACATGTCGAGTTCACATCTAACGTGTGCATGTCGACTAACATCAGTTAGGTAGTGCCTACTGGCCACCAGGCCACGCTCTTCTGCCTTTATGCTACACAGTTCCTGAAATGAGACTAAACGCTTTGGGCATATTTAATAAAAGCTCTTTATTTACAATTACCAAAAAAACATTGAGGCAATTCAGGTCATGTATAATGATTTCTACCAAAACATGATGTACTTTTACCAGGAACAATAACAATTATTAATATAAAAAAAAAAAATAAAAAAAATAATTCAGGTCATAGGAGGGTAAAAAGCGACAAAACACTTATAAATCACAATAAATCCCAGGTCAGTCGATTGTACGATTCCGACTATAACATGAGCATGTGTTTATGTGTCACGGAGTTAATAGCGAAGTTAGCAAGAATCAAGAATCAAGCATTTTTATTGTACAGAACACCCTCGTAGGGTAGGGTACAAACTATCTACATATGGACATGTATATAATTATAGACATGAGAGGTAGATATACATGATGTACATTATACATAGAGGTATTTCATGTTATTTCATTTACATCATATAAACATTTATGTATATCATGAGGTGGCTTGCAGCGTACACTTAGTGTTGATACTGCATTGATGGACTAGAATAGAATTTCTCATGGCCTCAGCTTAATATGTAGAATGCAGTCCTGGTAACAAGGCTTGACCATTCTTTTGGTGGGTTCATAAATTGTTTTAGGAGGTTGGTTTTATCAGTCTGGGAAGGGTCGCCTATTTCTATCAGTGAGATGAGATTTTTCCTGAGGTCTGTATACAGTGGGCATGAGAGCAGGAAGTGTTCCTCATCCTCCACGGAATGGCAGTCACAGTGCGTGATGGTAGATTGTCTTGGCCCCGTCGGAAATTGCACCAAGAACAAGCACAAGAACAAAACATGCTGCGTTTAGCAATGGGGAACCGGTGTTAAGTTCGGACACAGGCCAACTGAATCGTCTTGTCCACAGCGGTGTTCTGCTGACCGGGGTAACATGGAATCTTATTAACCACATTCAGTGGTCAGATTACCACGTACTGGTCAGTGGTGGGAGATGGAGTATTGGCCGAGAGGTCATCTATTACAGTCAGGGTCTTTTAAGATATGCTGGCCTTTGATCTGTTGGTCTTGGATTGAAGGGTGTTAAAATTGCTTTGCGTTTCACAGTTGACTTGAATTTCGTAAATTGTCCAGCGCACCATCTGGTTACGATGTGGCGCAAAACGCAGAAAATAACACTGAAATTCCATAGAACACTGAATCCCTCGAACAATGTGAATCGCATAGAACACTGAATCCCTCGAATGTGAATCTCATAGAACACTTAATCCGTCGAACAATGTGAATCTAATAGAACACTGAATCCCTCGAACAATGTGAATCTCAAAGAGCACTTAATGCCTCGAAGAATTTGAATCTCATTGAAAACAGGATCCCTGCGGTAGTCTAAATCTGAAAGGATACCGAGTTCTTGAAAAACACTGACAGTGCCCTATATGCTTTTAGCAGAGATTGCTCTTGAATATGGAAAGGGTTTTCTAGCTTTTATTATGATAAATAATTGCGTAGTAAATATATTTCGATATTGAAATACAAAATGGCTAACACACAATTAATCAAAACTTTAGAGAAAACAACTCGCCATGCTAGATGTGACCTAGTCACGGAGGAGCGTGGGCGGTGGGGTAGCTTAGTTGTAAACCGTTCGCACGTTACCGCGAAGGCCTGGGTTCGATCGTCCACAAACTGTGGGCACAAGTCTCAAGCACATTGATAGTGTCCCCTGCCTTGATATTGCTGGAATGTTGCTAAAAGCGGCGTAAAACTATACTCTCTCACATGGTCGTGGCAGTGGCTGATCCTTTTCTTAAACGAATCTCAAAGAAAATGATGATGATGATGATGATGATGATGATGATGATGATGATCGCCAGATGCAGTTTGTGACTCGGGGACTGACGATACCATTGTCAATGGTTAGCATGCACCATAACGATAGCTACATTGCATTATATTTTGTCGTTCTTACCGAAGTATCCTGTCTAAACTTCAGGGTTAAAGAAAGCACACACTCATATGTGATGATGGCTAAATATGAAACAAAGATATGGTTATTCGGTGGTGACACATTAACAGTGCAGCAAAGGCGATATTACATGTATCATATCAAGGAATATCCCACAACAGGTGACGTGCACATGATGTCTCAACGAACCTCAGGATCGCAATTTCAAATCCAATTTTCATCTGTATACTTCATTACTGTTTAGTTTAGTTTCTGTAGAATATTTTAGTCACCGTCATATAGCTGGAATATTGCTGAGTGCGGCGTTAAACACACAAACCCAACGCTGATGTGCATTAGGGTTTTGTTAATATTCCCCCAAATTTTCACAAATATGTTTTTTCAGTATGCCCATCTCTCCTAATAACATGTCCTTGAAAATAAATATTTCATTCCTTTTTTCAGACTGTTCACAGTCCGCAGTACTACGACAAACTACACCACATGCCCAACAACGGCGGTGGCGGCGGCGGTGGGGACATTGGCGGCAACTATAACCATGGCAACAGTAGGTGACCGTTCTATAGTTTTCATCAGGCATGATGTCAATTTGTATGATTTGTTTGTTTGTTTGTTTGTTGTTTAAAGGGCAGGTTGGGTAGCCTTGTGGTTAAAGCGTTCGTTCGTCACGTCGAAGACCCGGGTTCGATTCCCGACATGGGTACAATGTGTGAAGCCCATTTCTGGCTTCCCCCGCCGTGATATTGCTGGAATATTGCTAAAAGCGGCGTAAAACCACACTCGCTGACACTGTTGTTTAATGCCGCACTCAGCAATATTTCAGCTATATGACGGCGGTCTGTAAACAATCGAATCTGAATCAGATAAACCAGTGATTGATATCATGAGCATCGATCCACGCAATTGGGATATAATGACAGGCATCAACCTGTCGCATTTTACGGCAAGCATGGGTTGTTTGCATAAGACCTATTCTACCCCGGATCTTCACGGGTCTTTCAATATGTATGAATAGATCTTTTAAGCATTACACGACATATTATACCAAGGGTTTAATTGTATAGTGGTGAAGACTTACTTCAGAAACAAGTCATGTGCTACAACTGAAGAACTACATTTGACGTGACATATATTCACACGACCTTAATGTCTAGACACAAAAACATTTTCGTTCATAACACAGAAAACATTAATTTATCAATCGACTTGGGACATCAGTAAAACTGTTAATATGTTCACGTGGGTCCCGTGCTGAGCAAGGCTTGGTGCGCAATGTCTTTAACCCACTGTACGGCTAACGGACAATGCGCCCAGACAACGGGTTGAATTACAACGGCTACAACAGACACCGGGGTTTATTGTTTCCCCGTATGACGACACGTGCGTGGGAAGCCTATTAAGCTGTTTAATACAATCCAGGATGGTATGTAGATTATCATGAATCACTTTGATGGCACAATCTACAAAACACCAAGTCCTGTGGGGCCTTGAGTTGTATTTTTCCACTTGGCTAACATGCAATTATTTTGCGTTGGTCGTTCTGAATCTGGTACGGTCCTCACACACGAGAGAATTCATGCGTCGCGTCGCCTAACTGGAACCGAGGCGGAACTATGTACACTGAGTATATTACTAAGGGCCCGGGGTGCCGGAGACGGGTGGGGTGCTGGTGGAGTTGATTGTGTAGATAATGTTGGGGGGTCCGCTCTGGAAATATCATAACATGACAATATGCCATAGATACCGCTGTTAAATTAGTCCCATTGGGTGAGGGTTTGGGATGCAGTTAAGTACAGGGGGAATTCCTTTTCCCGGAGTAGCTTGGACGCGTGTTGAAAATTTACAAATCGTTATATCCATCTTGTATTGCGGGTTTCCATTCTGTGAGCCTTGAAGCAGATACTAAATTGTGGTCGCAAAAAAGGCCCTGTGTTTCACACTTCCGGTCCTTTTATGACGAATTATTTTGGTTCGCTATTTTTGGTTCGCGCATACACGTTTTCCATGAATCTTGTCACGACGTGAGTTCTCATGATACACTGAAAATGAGACATACGTTCGTACTGTTCCAGCAAATACGACAGACTGTTGGTCTGGACTATTAACATTAAGGGCTAGATATATGTATTTGTTTGAGTCACCCATTGGGTATGAACAGAATATTAGCCACCTACCAGACCCATGTCATATATAAACATTCATGTTGGGGTTCCTGGTCATGTTGGGTCCAGAGTACCTCATGCAAACAGTCGACTAAGTGGGGATTTGGTGGTCAGGCTCTGTGACTTGGTGATTGTGTGTCATCGTACAGCCACGGCTCGGAATGTTGATCTGGCTATCGATGACTAGCTTTCCAGGATCAGACATAACAATACCGCCATGATAAATGCGGAATATTAGAGATCGTGAGTTTGTGTTGTCTAGTATTTCGACTGCCTGTAGACCCGCGACGAACTGGGCAGAGAATTGGTCTCCAACAACCCATGCTTGTCGTAAGAGGCGACTAAAAGGATCGGGTGATCAGGCTCGCTGACTTGGTTGATGCATGTCATCGTATCCCAATGGTGTAGATCAATGCTCGTGATTGCCTGGTCTAGACTCGATTATTCACAGATCGACGTCATATAGCTGGGATAAACAACAACGAAACAAGCAAACAAACAAGTGCCTGTAAATAATCGAATCTGTGACAGAAAAAACAGTGGTTGATATTATGTACACGCTGTCCACATTTCACCGAGCCTGACCACCCGATCCAGTCTTTATCGCCTCCTACCACGAGCATAGATTGATGGGGGACCAATTCTAACCGGAATCTAACCAAAGAACATTACTGACTGCGGCGTTTGACCAATGTCTAGGAGAAAGAATCAAATGTATGCTAGAGGGTGGTCTTTGTTAACAAGAAGTTTTAACAGACGCAAAATGATACTCAAACGCATCTAAATCACTTTTACACATCCTCCCTCGCTCGCTATCCCATTTTGCAACCCGATTCCCTGTCTCAAGCCATCTCACGTTACATCATACAGCCACCATTATATCCCAGTTGTCTTCCGAACAGACAAGGCATGACGAAATAACATTATATGTGCCAAATGAATTAACCAGCCTTGGGCTGGAAGGTGGATCGAAACACAACATGAAAGTCACGCTTTTCTCGTGCGTGTCATGTGCGTGTTGTCCATGCGCTGTGTCAACAAATACAATAACCTCCGTTTTAGCCATTGGTTTGAATTAGCACGTGACAGGTCACTTTGTCACCGGAAGGGCACGAAGCAATTTCAGCATAACGGCTTACATCCGTGTTAAAAGTTTAGATTGCTTTTTAGAGGGTAAATGCTTTAAAACAATCTTGAATCCTTTAATTGAAAAAGATGTGCTATGTCGCTTTTAATCACAGTGTTGTTTAGATTTATTTTTTTTATATAATTGTCACTTACCGATTGACATGCAGGTGTAACCCTTATAATTCAAGTGTTAGCAAAAAAATGTCAAATGATAATAAACAAATTGAAAAGACTTTCAACTTTAGCCGATTTCTAATGAAGAACATTTTATTGTTTTTGTGCCTTGAGTTTCCTAGTACAACCTTTTGACCTTTCACAACGCGCACGTGAAACGCGTGTCAAATTTTCTGAGAAAATATATATCAGCAACATCCCATCTCGAATATTGACTGTCACTATTTATTGATTTTGAGTACAAATACCAATACAAATAGAGGCATCGCAATGTTCACAGCGCCCCGAGTTATCACAACATCGCATCTCCATTCTGCACCCGACTCCCCTGGTTTATTAGCCAGTAAGAGCTCCTCGCACCGACGTCCTATCCCCCGCTACAAAAACCACACCGCTTCTTACGATAGATTGTTTATTTTACTCCAAACGTTGCCATGGATAATTTCACGTAAAAATAACGTAACGTCCCTTTAATGTGAAGAAAAATAAAGTACACAAACATCTATGTTATGGCGTGATGGCTTAAAGCTCGCATGTGTACAAACAGCACGGCTTATTTCAAGTTATCGACGTGGTGATGATAAACAAACTGTATTAAAGTAGAAATAGATTCCCAACTCCACGTGAAGAGAGAACGAGGCTAGTGGCTCGTTCAGACACAACACTGCACGTGTTGCACGAGTTTCTCGAACTGAAGGCGCTATGTTGCGATCGCTTGTTTGATTGTTGCTACACTTAAAATAAACCTGTCATCAATGTTGTAAGTTTCAAAACTACGAACTCATGAATGAACACTTGGTTTGTTTAAAAACTGTGATTCAGAAACAGAATTCTTTCGTCGAGGACGTTGTCGTAAAAGTAGAAATATTTGAAAGCGGACCTCGTTTACGACATTTAACTAATTTCAGAAAAGGTACTACATAAAACATTAAACTTTCTCTTCTTCGGATGGTAATTTGTGCACCTTATCTTAAAACATACCTAAAGTGTTTGCTTTTTACTTTTACCATAATATGTGTAAAAGTAGATTATTTTAATACCTGCAACGAAAAGCAACTTTTAGAAACACATTTTATTAGAACCGCATGTATATAATACGCTGTACTTTTTACTTTAGGTGTTTAAATTGCCATTAAGGACACATTAAAACGAAGTCATAGAACAATGAAAAACAGCATTTGAAATGTGCATATAAATTCTATAATCCACACATCTGCTTAAATGTATGATAAAAAGTCTTCATAATTGCAATAAAACCTCCCATCGGTTACACGCAACCTGTTTTTACTAGTTTATTGTCAATTAAAAGCTAACAATGTATCGTAGAAATTATTGTAGGCCTGGTCTACCGTTATACACACTATGAACTAAAACATGCGCCTATAAATAAGCTGAATACAGAGTAAATCCCCGCTATCTTAAGTTTGAGATACGCAGCAGACCAACTACATAATTATCGTTTATAGTTAGCTCGTAAATCTCTTTATCTTGATACTGCTAGGAAAACTTCAAACACCCCCACTTCATACTTTACTAGTATAGGGCGAACGGGGGAGGCACCGGTTGGGCTACATGTGTACCTGTGAGGAGTTTTCGTCCGACATGATTAGGGAGGGCTATTTGGCTGTGATTTCAAGACTGCGGCTTCTGGATTTTGTGAGACTTGTTTAAGTGTATGTGTGTGGGAGGGTGGGGTGAAAATGTTGGGAGAGTGTTGGAGTACGTACAAGTAGTGAGAGCTTATTTTATAGAAGTTTAGTTTTGAGTCGGTACAGTAATTTGGTCAGATTACTATGCACAAATAAGTTTTGTATTTTTGTTCTGTTTTGGGTAGCCAACCCAGACCAGGCCTACCCATTCGGCTACCATACTGCTGACACAATGTGTCCTTGTTATCAACCTGAACTGGAACTCGCTTTTACTCGATAGATCTGTTAAAACGTAATTGAGGTAGAATAACTTCATGGTCTAATATTGTCACCCGGTTGTCTCAAACTTTGAACAGTCGAACAAGTGTCTTCGGAATCCGAGGTCCGTACATTCAACTTTGTGGAGGAGACGAACTATCGTTTGGAGCCACGATTCAATGTTTTCAGAGCATACAGCTTGTCCTGTGAACGATTTCGTTGCTTGATTAACACCTCGCGACAAATAATGTCTTTCAAACATTTCCGGGAACAGATTATTTGGTTATTTTTTAACAAATTCATTTAATAGCCATAATGAATAGTATGGCTGTCAAAAAGGATCGAAAGGCCATTTGTATGACGCTATACATGTGTATGATGGGGAGTGTGTATTATATGGGATAAGTTAACGTATATCTTGATGAGATAGCTATAGCCTTATAAATACATCATTAATGATGTGCAGTTTCCGGAACTAACGAAGTGCCCAGTGACAAATACAAACATCACTTCCCAGTCTTCCGGTGACTACAGCTCCCACATGGGATGGAGGACAAGGCAGGGTAGAAGCGCACAGGCTGGACTGTGACGGTATGAAGTATCTTGAGTGGGCGGGGTTCCCATGACGACACGCCATTCCCTGCATCTAAGGAGGAGGGACTCCGATGACAGAATCGTGCAGGGTGCCCCACTCACACTTAGTCAGCAGACAGGGTTGTTACGGAAGAAGCGTTCTGACCAAGGATGGATGGTGGCACTTCATCTCAGACGTGTGTTCAGATTTCTGGCTGTCTGACTGTTGGAGCACTTTGTAATAAAGGTTAATATTTCCAAAAGTGATGCCGATTTGTTTTATTTTCATCTTCCAAAAAATATCACATTCATATACAGTAAACTACGGTTATAACGAACTCATAGGGACCACCCATTTTAGTTCGTAATAACCGTAGTTCGTTATAAGCATATATACAACATATACACAACAAATGGCCGGGACTAAAAATGTAATTCGTTATATCGGTCAGTTCGTTATATGCGTGTTCGTTATAAACGTAGTTTACTGTACCTATAAGTATAAACTGCCATGCAAATACAAGTATACACATGAAATTGTATTTTACCAAACCATTACAAACGTTATCAAACCGTACTAGGCTGAAAACAGTCGGCGAAACATCAAACGTAAGGTTCAAAACACAACTGTGATACCCTACCAAATATACATCACCATCGAATAACCATTTCTTGTTTGTTTCATTTTTAGCATAAAAACGGGTGTATGCATTCTTTCGCTTGGCAGTTTAAAACGGGTTCTCTTGAAAATCCTTTAATTCAACAAAACATCATATATCCACGATTTGCTATCAACAGCATTATTGTTTAACTTGCTTTTTTGTATTATAATTAATAAAAGTTATAATTAAAATTCAAATCATATTCTTCCTAATACACTTACATATAAATGTACATGCCAATATCGTTCCAGTGTGGACGTTTAAATAAGGTGTTTATCCGACCAATGTTGCGGAGACGGACCTTTACTTTGATATATATCATCACTGAGCAGTAGATATTCATATTTTGCTTCATCTGGAAAAGCGTTCCTGGTACCCCCTCATCGGTAGATGTTAGTATACATGTATGTTAAGAATCATTTCCGTGTATGCAATAATCTTTGTGGTGTGGTGACATCATTAATTATGTCTGCGGTGGGTAACGTGTTGACATTTATGCCACATAAACACATACATATCTTTGTTGCTAGTATATTGTGATAACATTTTGGGAAAACATTTTGAATATAATATAATATTTATATGATTTTTCAAATGCATTGTATAGGGTATTGGAGGATATGTATGTGTGTATGTGTGTATGTATGTATGTATGTATGTATGTATGTATGTATGTATGTATGTATGTATGTATACTCAGCAGTTGATTGCAATTCTGATATATTTCGTGTATCGTGAAATCACGAATATACATAAAAATACTGAGTTGAGAATTGCACTTAATAAGGAATGCGTTCAGTACTATTTTCCGGAATCACTTGCCTGTATCTCCGTGTAGTTAACCGATGAGAAATACATCTTCTCAGCCCATGACCTGCTTCAGAGGCTAATTATAGCAAATTACCATTGCATGCACCAACACAAGATGTATCGTGAGTACACTGCGATAATAACTGACGTGACAACCATAGTCAATAGCAGTAAATAACGTAGCTTCATTCAAGCTGTACCTTAAGCCAAATGGAGGACTGTGCAGTTTTCACTCATACATACAACGACTGCTCTGTGGTGTAAACATATATGAATCTCATTATAACCGGCAGTGTGAAATTACCGTGTCTTGAAAATCACTTTACTTTGACTGAATGGTTGTATTTACAAATAGAATACCGCGTGCTCCCCTCGTGAGTAAACAAACCCTAACTCCTTGCAGAATACGCGGAGACTTTTCTTATATGTACGTCCTCTGGGAAGAAATGAAATGTTCAAACGTTTGTTTGGTAAACACGTTGTCTTTCTGCCTTCTTTCCCTTATCCTGAGACGAATATTGGTAAATGGGGGTTAATATCCTGTGGATGTCTTTAACATGGTGTCTGAGTTATTGTTTGAGTTAAAGTTGACACACAAAAAAACCAGTTAATCCATTGTCCCGAATTATTGTTACTCTTTTCAAAACGTTTTTGTGACCATTCCTCTTCTCGGTTGACTGGTTGAGTGCCCATGTTTCATATTGATGTTTGCTGTTGTTGTTTTGCGATACCATTCTTATTCAACATCTATTTCAAGTTCATATCAAATATCTGACCTGTGAAGATCCGGGGAAGGATAGGTCTTCAGTGCCGTTTGAGGCGTCTATGCTTGTCGTAAGATGCGACTAACGGGAACGTGTGATCAGGCTCCCTGCCCTGGTTGATGCATGTCATCGTATCCCAATTGCGTGGATCAATGCTCATGATGTCATGATATTATTTACAGACCGCCGTCATATAGCTGGAATATTGCTGAGTGCTGCTTTAAACAACAAATAAACAAACAAAATTTAAAATTCTATATCGTAATATCTGTTTGATTAAAACTTTGCGTTTGATAATTTCATACTGACCCAGGTGTGTTTTTTTTCAGACTACGATCAAGTCCAGTCCGGTGGGGGCGTGTCCAGCCTTGACTGTTTGTCCCTCATTGTGGAAAGCATCTCACCCAATAAACAAGCCTCCGTCATCTCCAACATGGCCGCCTCAGACAGGCCGTTATGAAACGTCAAATAACGTGTAGATCGTCACGTCACGTAACTATACATGGCTTCTGACGTAACCAATGTCGGAATAACGCACTAAGCTCAACGTCATGATGGTATTCCTACAACTGCATGGGTGCTAATCACTGAACAATAAAGCGGCGTCATCAACGTCGGTCGACGTCATTAAGAAACAAAACCCTCTGTCGACGTCAATGAGTGTCAGTAGGTACACGGCAAGGAAGCTTCTTACCAGAGAATGAAGCGACGTCATCAACATCAGTGGACGTCATTGAGTAACAGTAACGTAGTCGACGACATTTGATAAAAATGAGGCGTTATTAACGTTGGTAGACGTCATGGAGAGTTCGTAGCGTTATACGTCACATTCTTCTGGACGATGAACTAACAACAGATTGAGTGTTATTTCACTGCTATCATAGTCATTACGTGAGGGGCCTATTTCATATAACGTCGTGTGACGTAAACGAAGACGTGGCGTGATTCGTGAGGATGCTATTCATGACGTGGTGACGTCTTTGACAGATGTGTGACAATGAACAATGTCAGATAGGTGTGTCTGAACTGCCACAGCGACACGTATTGTACATAGAGCCAATATTGGTGGCACCATAGTGCCAGGAACCAATATTAACCGCACCTGGATTCAAGGTGCCTATGCAATATATTTGTTGATATGCTTTTTATCAGGAGTTAAAATTATCGTAGCATTTGGTATCATTTTTATCAGTTACAAATTTATAAATGTCAAGTTTGTCATGCTTATGATTTTTAAAAAAAAGGTTTTATTTATTTGTTTATATTGTTAATCGATTCAATCGATTTTAGACCTTAGATTTATAATTTAATGTCACTCGCACAACACGTTATGCAAAGCATTTTTAGTTAGAAAGAAAGAAATATGACGATATTGATAAACACGCTGGTCTATTCGGCGAAATAGTTTTGATTGCGCATGCGTACACTGTCACTTCCTGTCGAACAACTGAATATGTATATAAGGATGACGAGGTAGCACTAGATCTCGCGAAATTTGCCACGAATGTTACAACCTCGCACAATTTGAATCATGTGTAATATTTTTAAGTCAAATGTAATAAACGATGTGAACGAAAATGAGTCTTGTGTTTGATATTTCAGCAGCTGTATCATCGGTATGGGGGAAAACACAGACCATGTGCTAACTTCACATGTGTTGGACATCTATATTTTGAATACAAGTGTTTTTGGAAAATCGTGTAAAATCGAATTTTGTTGAGGCATCGTAATGACTTAATAAAAATATACCCGCGCAGCCCTTTAATGGTATTACACGACAAGTAACATGGCTGTCGAACATTGATTAATAAGCTGATCAAATTGACAACATCTTCCCGAGGTAAGGGGATGAACTGACTTTAAAAGTCCAGTTTCCACCCTTACCGAACTAGGCTGGAATTCCTGGGCTTGATCGTAGCGCCACCAGTGACTATTACAAGTTATGTCCCCTCTAAGTCCCCTCTATGGACCAATCAGATTCCACCTCTCGTATCACTTGCATTTGCCGTTACATAGTTGGAATATTGCTGAGTGCGGCGTAAAACAAAAAGAACCCTGTCCTAACACGTGCAATATGCGTTAGCAGACTAATAGCGTAGGTTAATAGCACTTGAATCAATCTTCCTGGGACTGTGTATATGACTGATCGTTGCCTCTCTTTCAATATAAAACGTCAACGCCAAAGAATACTGATTATCCTCCGGAACAGATCCCTTTGAACGCCGAGGGCAAAATAGTGGTGAAAAGTATATGAGTGGATCACTTAGATCAGGGATGACACCAGGTGTTCGCGAATACGGTAAGCATATCAATAGAAAAGAAGACCATGTTCTACGGTCGGTACCCCATTCCGGTGTGAGATCTAGACGTTGTTATCAGTAAGATGTGTGTGGTTAAACTGGAGATATTATAGTAAGCGTCATCCCTGCATCATAACATTTGTATTGAACCAAAACAGTGGTGTTATAATTACTTTTATCAAATGAGCTGGAACTGCCAATTTGGTCGAGCCCATGTCTCCTTTAAAGCCGGGGTTGTTTTTTCAAGGTTACAACATTCCAGGCCTCATAAACGCTAAACATCTGGAGAACGTTTGACGCGTTAGTGACAAAAACGTTGTCCTATGCAATTCCCTATTTTGACTTGAATAATTGACTTGCCTTTGCATGTGTTTGTAACGGGTATGATCGGTAGGACAGAATACGCCCAACTTTTCGCGAAAACTTGGTATCATCATTATTTGATAGTTATTCATAAGCACATACTCATAATAGTCGGAATCGTACCATCGACTCTGCTTTTAGCTAAGATTTCTTATGATTATGGATATTTTCGTTTTTTGTCGCCTTATATTATTAAGCTGGAGTATCGCTGACAATATTCACCCACACGCTCAACAAACCTTAGCGTTTCTATGAGCCACCACCTACCACATATTTGCATGTATGGTTTCAAATCTTTTGCTAAGAATCATCGAATAAGGAAAAGATGATATGCACATAATCTCCTCACTGTCGAGAGTTGCTGTCCTGGCTCCGTCTAGACGCTGATAAGTGATCTGTATCGCTGACGTTCATTTTGACATCCCTACATTCTGGTCAGATTCCAATTAGATAGCACCGACATCGTGAATTTAACATACGCAAGTTTCAGATGAACTCGTAGCCTTTAGCCATAGATTTGTGTCACTCGTCTTTTATGTGTATAAGGCGTGTGGATATCAATGATTGTGCGATGCACCTCTGATTGGCGTGTGTCCCTTGGAAAAGAAAAGTCAGATTCAAAGTCGAATAGTATATTTCAAATTTCATAATTTGTCTTTGGACAATACACCATTTGTGTCTTGTGCGTTATCTAGATGTTGGAGAGGGCCGGTGGTGTGGCCTACTCGTTAAAACGATCGCTCGTCACACCAAAAGCCCAGGTTCGATTGCCAACCCTTTGGTGGCCATATATAATGTCCCACGCCGCGATTGTGACAGGGATACTGCTCAAAGCGGCATAAAAATCGACTCATTCACGGTACAGGTCACGAGTTTTAGAGGTTATTGGACCAGGACAGGGACCAATGGACCTGGTACATATGGTACATATGGTACATATGGTACATTAGCAACCTGCAGTGTACCACGTAGTTGGTGTACTCAGGATACGCTTACCCATGTAAGATCTCTCTCGATTTTTCGATACTGATAGTTTCATAACAAAATGATTAGGAAATAAACATACTGCAAGTTCAGTGTAAAAGTTTTATTACCATGAAAACCCCAAGTGTCAAATCTCATTTGTTAACAAAATTTGTAATGACCTCTCTTAATTGTTTACGTGTATACAGCCAACAATGTATTATCAAATATTCATTGAACATTATATTAATTATTAAAAACAACAGTAATTATCATTATTTCAAAATGATTGAGTGAGAAGGACAATACCTTTCTATAAACGAATTGATGCATTTAAAGATACAAAATCTAAACAAATAACATTTGACTGATATTCTGCAAAATGTCGACCGATTAAATTGACAGCTGGGTGATTGTTTAATTTTTCGCTCGTCTCTTTTACTCGATGTCTTCTATTTTAAAAATACATTTACTCAAACTCCTCTCTCATCCCCTTCTCAGCTCGAGCAGCCCGTAATCCCCCCATTGTCAGCTCATGACATTAAGAGACTTGATGGTTTCTTATAACACTCGGGTACGGAAGGCTTTTAGGGCCATTTGTCTTTTTGTTTTTTTTCTTGAAATTTTAAGATCTTATGTTGATATTTCAAGATGCTTACTAAATTGAAATTTCAAGATACATAAGTTGACATTCAAGATAATGATCTTTAATTTTCAAGATCATAAGTTGAAATTTCAAGATATTAACTTGAAATTTTAACTAATTATCTTGAAATTTCAACTCAGTATGTATCTTGAAATTTCAACAAATGTATCTTGAAATTTCAAGACAAAATAGAAAAAAAACATATGGCCTTAAAATGCTTCCGTACTCGGGGGTTTCTTCACAGCATTATTTTTATTTAACACTATAGATATATGTCTTTCGAGGACTATATGTATGTCTACGTTTCTTATTTGTTTACAATTCTTATTGCGCCAAGTAATTACCACGATGCTCCAGCAATTAGGACAACTGGTGGAGGGCCCACCATCATCAACAGCCCACTTTTCGTCAGCTCTGTTATCGGTTTAACGGATTACTAAACTCCTCACAGTGTTTGTACTGTCACTATACTATGGGCAGTGTACTGGTCTCCAGACAGGGTACTTCATTAAGGATGAGTGATCACGTGACTAAGTACTTTTCCATGTGTTCCCGACGTGAGGGCTGGGTCAATCGAAGCACTCTATGCAAGTTCAGTGTACTCCAGTGAATTGTTCCTTTGTAATGTATTATATATAAATTCATAGATTTATTTGTACTGTCAACCTTGTGTTGACATATTTTAAAGGAGCGCTGGGTTCGGACTTGCTATCATGATACGTTCTCCTACACAGCTGAATTTAAGACATTGAAATTCCGCTTTCTCAGCGTACTCACCTCGTACTGTGCAGTAACAGTTAAAGACTTCTGTAATTACTAAGACAATGTCTCCGTTGCACGCATGGCTCAGTTAGGATAATTTATTCCAACCATGCATTGAGCCTTATTAACCATGAGACGTTGAAAGCAATTTTTTTGTCATCTTGTTCGATAATAATTTGAAAAAGAAACTGCTTGCCCTTTCACGAACACCTGGTGACGTCACTGATTGTCAGTTGTCCTTACATATAACTTTTATCACTATTTTGCCTTTTTTACCCAACGGAATTGGTATGGGCAAATATTCGAGACTTATGATTATTTGGCGTTGACGTGTTGAAGTCTGAAATATGTAATTGATATTTCTATTATTTTAGTTACTTGAAAGCATATATTTAGTCTAATCTAACGATGCTGTTTAAAAAAAGAATTTACAGTAAATAGTGTATGGACATCTTGACAGGTATCAGGACTGCAATGATTATCTATAATTCAACTAAGTCATCCGGTAAATAAGATCAGAGAAACTGATTTGCAATACCGATAAGCTTTCCTAGATTTTAATCATCCGAGTCAGGGAAAATTTACCGTAACCTCTGAAACCAAATTCTAAATTCGGATATGTTTCTCTTCAGAATTTGACGACTTGACCTGTCTGTGTGTACTTCCGGTTGAATTAAACGGAGCTCCCATAATACCAAAGCAGCATTATCAGATCTGGTGGGGAAACCCGCTACGGTTGAAGCAGGCTAGGTGTAATGTATGAGTGTTAAAGAAATTATGCAAGTCATTTAACGTAATGAGGAGATGATTGCGACGTATCGAGGACTTCCTGTGTCGATATTGGAGCCACTTGGGAAAAGGGGGGTATGGAGACGTATTACCAGGGGGGTTGTGAAAGGGGGTTCGGTGGGGGGGTTACACCATGTGACTATTTTAATACTAAAGACTTCTTAAAATTGCGAAATAACAGCTTTGATTCTGCGCATGTCGGGGTTAAGTTTGCATACGGGGTATCAAAGATGATCGTTTCGTCTCCAATTACGCCTGTACCTAGTTCAGGATAGCCCGGACCAAATGACTGAAGTGCGTTTATTTCGGAAGTCGTAGGTATTAAAAGACGCCGTTTGAAGGGTCGAGTTTTCCTGTGTAAGATAATTAGTCAGCGCTTCGACAGGAACGAGTTCTCATCACGGCGGCGAGATTTGGGGTAAAAGGGTAGTAAAGCCGTCTTGCTAATGACATGCCGGGTCAGAGATCCAAGAGGAATTAGTAAGTAGCAGATGTGAGTAATATCCATCTAACCGAGTATAAATATAGTTTATAAATAAGGATGGTATTTAAAGGAGTACCTCTATCCATTGTGAAGTTGTAACAGTCATGTCGTGTTTAGAAATGTGACGTCAACGAAGTTGCAACTGTTGTGGAGTTGATAATTTTATAACACAACAAAAAACTTGCTTGACCGATAATCAAATTGCACTAATAAAAACGTAATCTACAGACTACCAGAAATATTGATTATCATATTCTAGGATAAGGATAAG